GAAGCAAGGTGAAATTCGCATGACTTGACCTCAGGTCAACTTGAGGTCATTAACGCTTAGAGGTGTGAGATTCAGGCCGACAAACTGGCGCCTCTCAAATCCTTGTCTGTGACTCATGAACTATATGTATATATTAAATAAAACTAAACCAAACACCTTTACGGTGTTACAGCTATTTCGGTTTTTGGTTTGCAATTTTTAACCAGTTGTAATTTGTTTGGGAATTTCTACTTTTCTGGGTGCTTGACCTGGTAGATTGCAGACACAGACTACTTCCAGTTACACGGGGGGTGTTTATTAGCCATTGCTCCTCATGCCTCATCTGAGGGGGGCCATGTTCTGGCGCTGGTCCCCTGGTAGGCCTAGAACTCCATCAACTGACTGTTGATGGAGTTCTAGTCTATTATATACTCTAATATATGCACATCAGCCCGATATTGCTCCGGGGAGCCTTCGGATCTCACCCAGAAAATGACGTTTCATTACATTCAATGCTGGTATTTTTTGCAGCTCTGCCTCTTTCAGAGGCTCAATCAAGTGCTGTATATTATTTTATGAAATATAATGTTATTAATTTGGTAGTCATGGTTTGGGTTGTTATGCCCCACATGTATGGTGTGGTATTTGTTGATATTAAAAAGCATTTGCCAGTCTTTTGACCATTTGTGGAGTTCATGTAGGCTTTGTAAGGCTTCAATATCATTATCATTTCCCACTTTATCATAAACCTTTGTCATCTGCAAATTTGATAATGTGGTTTGTAATATTCTCATCTATGTCATTGATGTATATGACAAAAAGGGTAGGTCCCAAAATGGACCCCTGTGGTACCTCACTTACCACATTTTTATATTCAGATTCATTCCCATTTAGCACAACCCTTTGCTTTCTTTCTTTCAACTATTGTTTTATCCATTCTAACATTTTACTATTTATTCCATGGGCCTGCAATTTCCTTGCCAGTCTTTCATGTGGTACCTTATCAAAGGCTTTAGCAAAATCCATATACACTACATCTACCGGAAGGCATTTGTCTGAACAGCTGGTTACCATTTTAAAAATGTAAGCATGTGTCCCACCTGCAGTCCTCTAGGCAACAGTATGAAGTCTCTTGGCAGTCTTTTCGCCATTTTCTATCCCTTCGTTGTTGTTCTTTGTTTTCCAAGTGGGTTGTTTTGTCCTTGACTGTTTTTTTGATCAGCACCTTATGCCAAATACTGTTGCCTTTTATCGTGTGTTATTGGCGGAGCCACTCCAACTTGCATTTGGGGTGGATACTTCTTCGGCCCCATTTTGCTAGCTTTCTTGGGCTTCGTTTCACCTCCGGCTTGTTCATGTGCCGCCTGAGCCTGACTGGTCTCTCAACTGGGTTCTTTCTTTTCTATCCTCGCCTTGGTTTCTTGTGGCCTTTTTAGTCTGGGATTGTTTCTTGAAGGCTGTGTTTTTGTTCTCTTTGGCCTCAGGTTGTCCTGTTGGGGGGAACTTCATGCTCTTTTCCGGCACTGGGGGTTTTGTTGCTTTGGCCCTGGTAGGTGCTGTGTTCAGTTGCAGCTTACTCCTTCGTTTCCAGTGAAGAATGAGCCGGCAGGCTTCCAGAGGGGTCCTTTGGTAGTGGATGCTTGGTTGGTTGAGCTGGAGGTGCATCATGCTCTTTGTCCAGTGGCGGTTCTTCGCCTCTACCTTCGTGCCACCAATTTTGCTTTGGTGTGTTGATCCAGTTTCCCTGGTTCCCTGTACCAGGGCTTGTATTTCTCAGGTTGTCTACAGTGTCATTAAGTTTAGCCGGCCTAAGGTCTACCCTTGTGCCCATAATGTCCAGAAGTATGCTGCTCTTAAGGCTGTGTTTGCAACTACTGTATGTCTTGGGTCGATATTTGGGCACAGAGGTTTTTGCAGTCGAACAGGTTCTTGGCAGGCAGGTATCTCATGAAAGTTCCTGGCCCTCAGCAGCCTCTTATTGCATTGGGTCGTGTTTTGCAGCTGAAGGTATCTTCTCTGTCCTGATAATTGTAGTGTGGCATCCTCCCTGGGAAGTACCCTTTTTTCCTTCTTTGTGGGTAGTTAGCTTCAAGGAGCCTCATGGGGGTTCCCCCCAAGAAAACCATCATTGAATGAAATGTGTGAAATGAAAGTCAAACCACACACCAGAAGATGAGGAGACGATCGTGTTTCGGTTCATCCTGGACCATTATCAAGTTTATTGTAATGGTAGCTAGGAAGGCACATGCATTAAGTAAGGTAAAAGAGAGGTGAGGAGGAGGAAATTCCTAAGACCAAGGCAGAAGGTACGGATGGGATGGGTGTAATAATGGGTGTAAGAAGAAGGTAATAATGGGTATAAGAATAGGAATGTAAGAATAAGAGGTAAAAGAAAAAGAAAAAGAAAAAAAAGATTTATGTTAGGTCACGTTTGTTAGAAAGGTTAGAGCATTTGAGTATATACTTTGGGTATGTTAATGTTGGGTATGTTGTGTAATCAGAGGGCTTCAACAAGATGGCGTCTGTAAAGAGTAGAGGCAGGAAAGATTATTTTAGAAGAAGACCAATCAATAGGATGATTAGAATTCCTAACATGACAAAAGAGAGCATTGTTTGTGTCTGCAGACTTAACACTTCTTTTGTATTCCTTAAGTCTGTCATTTAGTGTACAGCCTCTTTGTGATATGATATGGTACTGCAGTCATACCAGGCCAATGGTATACCTCACGTGCATAAAAAAATGAACTGCGGGGGTTCGATGCGGTCCTTGGCACTTTGGGGCTGGTCGCTTTGGGTGACTCATCTGCTGAGTTCTCGGGGTTAAGCTCTCCTGGCGGTTTACTTTTGGAGGGTGTCCAATGTCCTGGCAGACGGCCTGTCCTGGTTCATTCCCCCGTCCATGGAATGGACGGTCGACGCCAACTCGTTCAGTTGGCTCTGCTGAACGTTCAGGTGAAGAGGTGGACCTCTTCGCGTCGGCGTGGTTGAGGCATCTTCTGATATACGTGGTGCCCTTTCCCGACTGCGAGGCCATCGGAATCAATGCCTTTAGTCAGGACTGGGCAAGGTGGGGTTACCTGTACCTCTTTTCCCTGGTTCTGCTGTTGCTCCAGGTCCTGGCTCGCTTAGAGACTTTCCAGGGAAAAGTTGTCCTTCTGGCTCCGTGGTGGCTGGCCAAGCCTTGGTTTCAGGCGCTGCTTGCTCAGTGTCCGAACCTGAGGGGTCTTCCCGCGGCTCCACCTCTTTTCAACAGATCAGTCCGGCCCGGTACGTGGCTGGTTCGCTCTTCTCCTCGAATCTTCACGTCTGGTCTTTCTGACTCGAGTCTATTGTCACTTGTATGGTGTGCAAGTGGTTTTGTTGATGGTTTCCCACTTGCGTGCTTCATCTCGGTAGCAGTATGAAGTTTCCTGGCGGTCCTTCTATTTTTTCCTATCTCTGTGTAGGTGTACTTCGGTCTCTGATAGAGTTGTCTTGTTCTTCCTTTCGTGGTTGTTCCAGGATTGTCATCTTATGCCAAATACTGTCGCCTCATATCGTGCAGCGCTGGTGGAGCTGCTGCAGGTTGCGTTCGGTGTTGGTGTTACTTCTGTTCCGTTCCAAAAGCTGTCTCATGCATTGTTTCACCTCTGCCCTGCTCGTGCACCTTTTCAGCCATGTTGGTCATTGGTCTGGGTGCTCTCATTTCTCTCTTCTCTTCAGTTTGTAGTGGCCCCTTTGGTTCAGGTTTGTTTGGTGAAGGCTCTTTTTCTTGTTGGCAGTGGCATCTTGGGGTCGGGTCGGGGAGCTTCATGCTCTCCTCCGATGCAGGGGCTTCTGCTCTTTAGGTCCCGGCAGTTGTTTTCTTCATTTGCAGCTGTCTCCTTCTTTTCTGGCAAAGAATGAGTCTGCTGGTTTCAAGAGGGGTCCTTGGGTTGTTGATGCTTGGTTGGTCTGGCCGGGGATGCATCATGCATTGTGTGTATTTGCGGATCTCTGACATTTTCGGCGCGCCTCGACCTTGGTGGTCGGGGATGCACTTTGGATTGACCAGTTTCCCTTCTTCCCTGTTCCGGGCTTCAGGTCTCCCAGGTCGTCCTCTGGGTCCTTCGGTCTGGCCCGCCTGCAGGTCTATCCTCGTGCCCGTGACATTTGTATGTTTGCTGGGTTGGAGATTGCCTCCCGGGTTTGTCCCTCCTGTGTTATCTTTCGGTAAGTAGCTCCTGGGAGCCAACTGGGCTCCCCCAAAAACATCAGCGTTGAATGTAATGAAACGGTATTTTCTGGGTGAGACCTGAAGGCTCCCCAACAACCCGTTCTCCCTCCCTCCGTTTGGTGGTTTTTCGCATTTTTGACATCCAACCTGAAGAATTGAAGGGTGGGTAGCTGGCAGGAATGTCTGGGGCTGTCCCTTTCCCCTCCCGGGGAGGGGTTTGGGGTTGCACAGACAGTAGCACGGCAACATGGAGACGTCGTGCTAATTTGCTTGTTTTCATTTGGGGAGATCTGTCTACTCGTTCTGCTCTTTGTAGCAATGTTTTCACCAGAATAGGGGTTTGTATTGGGGCGTTTACCTTTCTGAGTGCCTGATCCAGTCAATGGCAGACATAAAATGCTTCCAACCACACGGGGATTTCTATTGGCCATTGCTCCTCAGGCCTCTCTGAGGGGGGTGCCGGGTTCTAGCTCGTGGTCTCTGGTAGGCCTAGAACTCCATGCACACTGACTTATGCCAGAAATCTAATACAATATATCTATATCAGCCTGGATAGCTCCGGGGAGCCTCCGGGTCTCATCCAAAAAATGGCGTTTCATTACATTTAACGTTGGTTTTTTTGCATGTAATGATTGATTTCTGCTACAGATATCATACTTACCAATTTTAAATGTATAATAGTTATATGTATATTGGAGAAGATTCAACTTTCCACCATGTTGTAACATGAAATAACTATATATATATTTAAAATAATATATCTATTATCTGAGGAATATAATGTATTTAATAGAATAGAGAGCCTTCAGTGTTTGTAACTTTTCAGAAAGATGAAATATTTTCTGGATTGGAGATGTGTGTGATGGGGGATAGTCAGGAATACACGAAGCAGCAACTAGAGACATTAATAGTTGAACATGGAGGCTCCTTCACACAACACCCAGGTAAGAATTTGATAAAGAATAATTACATAAATATTTTACAAGAGTAATGATCTTCTGGGGTAGCCCCTTGAGGCTGCCTGAAGCAATCTTGGTGAGATGGCTCCCAACTACTAGATCGCATTATCCATGGGGTTCTATTCTGCCTACCGGGGACCAGAGTCAGAACATGGTCCCCCTTCATAGATGCACAGGAAACTGATGCCACTCCGTAACTACACTAGGGAAGACACGCAGAAAGTCAACGATCCAATACAGACCACTGCTGGATTTAGGAGAGACTGAAGCCTCACAACCCACCGAATGAAATCCTGCAATAAAATGAACAAAAGATCGAAAACCCTACCTCTGAGTACCTCTTGCGTGACTCGGTTTTTGCCTATATTAGGCCCTGCAACCTTTACATTTGAGTCTTCTCCTTGGATGCATATGAGGTTCAGAAGTCTCCCCACACATTTGAGTGGCATGTGGTGGCAACTGTGTTTCAGGTGTTTTTGGATGGTCCTTCCTTTAGGCTGCTCCACGATGAATGTCATGACATGATGCTAAGCAAGGCTCGTGGAGTAGAACTTTCCCTCATAAATCAGTGAACCTCCTGGCCTCAAATATGTAAGTTCAAAATGTCTAGGTTTGAGTGAAAGTCTAAGTAAAATCCACCAGTTTACAAGGGCAAACTTTACTACGGCAGTCCCTGTGGCATAGTGTTAAAAACAATTGACCAGCACTTCGGGAGCACTTTGGCCTTGGTTCATATCCTGGCCGGGGAGGATTGACCGAGTGCCAATCCTTAACTGTAGCCTGTTTAACCAGCAGTGAATGGGTACCTGGTTGTTAAACGATTTGGCGGGTCGCATTCCAAGGAAAAAATAAGGATTAACCCTTAAACTGCGCATGGCATATATATACGCCCTGAGTAATATGTCCCATGGTGCGCATGGCATATATATACGCCATAGGGTGCCAGGCCTGACTCAAATGGCCCGCGGCTACACGGGGTTCACAGTAGCTTCCTCAGGGCTCTTGTAAACAGATGCCATTTAAAAAAAAAATTGTGGGCAATATTCTCAGGTGTGAGAGGCACAGTACTGTTGGAGCAACCAAGGCCGGCGCACGCAGCATGTTTGAACAGCATTGCTGTTCAGCTTGTGACCACAGCATCGCCGTAAAATGTCAAAATATATATATAATTGTTATTATTTAGCGATGACAATATTACAGATGACCCATGACTGTGATATAAATAACCAGGGTTGTGATAATAGCAGGATTGTTGTAATAATTAGTGCTGTGGGAGGAGTGATGCTGAGAGATGGAGGGAGACAGCATCGTTTACTGACTGTGTGGCTAGCTGTTATTGTTTGCATTCACCATACCAGGTCAGTGGTTCTCTATGGTAAACACAAATGTAGGTACTTATATATAATGTGTGTATTAGTGTAATAACAGTAATAATAATTAGTGTAATAATAATCATAAAAGTATTTGAGAGAATGATTAGGAGTCAGGTCACCAATTTCATGGAGACCAATGACCTTCACAACCCAGGCCAACATGGATTTCGAGCGGGAAGATCGTGCCTCTCACAGTTACTTGAGCACTACGACAAAGTCACTGAGGCATTAGAAGAAAAACAGAATGCTGATGTGATATACACGGACTTCGCAAAGGCTTTCGATAAATGTGACCATGGCGTGATAGCACACAAAATGAAGTCAATGGGAATAACCGGTAAAGTAGGACGCTGGATACTCAGTTTTCTATCAAACAGGACTCAGCGAGTAACGGTCAACCATATAAAATCTAGTCCAAGTGCAGTTAAAAGCTCTGTACCTCAGGGTACAGTCCTTGCACTGCTGCTTTTCCTTATTCTCATATCAGATATAGACAAAAATACAAGTCACAGCTTCGTATCATCCTTTGCAGATGACACAAAAATCAGTATGAAAATTACATCGGCTGAGGACATTGAAAAACTTCAAGGTGATATTAATAAAGTTTTCGACTGGGCATCAGAAAATAACATGATGTTTAACAGTGATAAATTCCAGGTACTCAGGTACGGTAAAAATGAGGACCTTAAACATAATACAGAGTACAAAACACAATCAAATGTACCCATAGTAGGAAAACAGCATGTAAAGGATTTGGGAATAATAATGTCTGACGACCTAACGTTTAAGGAGCATAACCAAGCAAATATTGCGACAGCCAGAAAATTGATAGGATGGATTATGAGAACATTCAAATCCAGGGATCCCATCACAATGGTTGTACTCTTCAAGTCACTTGTGTTGTCCCGTCTTGAGTACTGCTCAGTACTCACTTCCCCCTTCAGAGCAGGAGAGATTGCTGAAATAGAGGGAATACAGAGAACATATACGGCACGCATAGACGCAATAAAGCACCTAAATTATTGGGATCGTCTCAAAGCCCTCCAAATGTACTCACTAGAAAGAAGACGAGAGAGATATCAAATAATATACACCTGGAAGATACTGGAGGGCCAAGTACCAAATCTACACAGTAAAATAACAACGTACTGGAGTGAAGGATATGGAAGAAAATGTAGAATAGAACCAGTGAAGAGCAGAGGTGCCATAGGCACAATCAGAGAACACTGTATAAACATCAGAGGTCCGCGGTTGTTCAACGTCCTCCCAGCAAGCATAAGAAATATTGCCGGAACAACCGTGGACATTTTCAAGAGGAAACTAGATTTATTCCTCCAAGGAGTGCCGGACCAACCGGGCTGTGGTGGGTATGTGGGCCTGCGGGCCGCTCCAAGCAACAGCCTAGTGGACCAAGCTCTCACAAGTCAAGCCTGGCCTTGAGCCGGGCTTGGGGAGTAGAAGAACTCCCAGAACCCCATCAACCAGGTAACAGCAAAAGGATTATGCTGGGAGGAGCCATATGGGTGACGGAGGTGACGTCGTCTGCACGATTTGTCTAGCTGTTTAGAGGGTGGCCACTATGCTCTTTGGGCGCACTACAAGCTTAGGTGTACAGTTACGGTGCATAAAACATGTAGATATTTATATATAATATGTGTATATAGGGGTAATAACACTGCAAAAAGTATTGTTGGGGGAGAAAGTTTAGTGCGTGTGACCTTGAAAGAGTGAGGGAGCCGCCAGCCGCCATCTGTGTATAGCGACGACTCTTAGTGCCTGAACTAACTATATCAGCTTAGCTGTACAGTTGTGGTGAACAAAATATATACATACTTATATATAACGTCTGTATATAGTGTAATAACACCACAAACGGTATTGTTGGGGGAGAAAGTTTAGTGTGTGTGACCTTGAAAGAGTGAGGGAGCTGCCAGCCGCCATCTGTGTATAGCGAAGACTCTTAGTGCCTGAACTAACTATATCAGCTTAGCTGTACAGTTGTGGTGAACAAAATATATACATACTTATATATAACGTCTGTATATAGTGTAATAACACCACAACTGGTATTGTTGCGGGAGAAAGTTTAGTGCGTGTGTTGAGGGAGTGGCAGCGAGTGGCTGGCTGGTGTGTGGCGGTAACTCTTCATTGCTTTTCGACTCTCAATACCAACTTAGTGGTTCGTTATGGTGACCAAAACATGCAGATACTTATATATAACCTGTGTATAGAGTGTAATAGCAGCAAAACTATTTGTTTATTGTTTTATAAACATAATAATTGAATCACTATTATGCACATCATACTTTTGAGTATAGCGATTATTCACCACTTTTATTATATAAATATATTACAATACACACTATTGAATAATATTACAGCAAAAAAACTAAGAAAAAATCAATCGGAGACATTGAAACAATTAGGTAATAATATCTTTGTGGCAACTCCCATCTGTCAGCGCGGGTGACGCTGACCGGGTCTGACGACCACTCTGTCAACGCCCACTTTTTGCCAGACTTCCTCGGTCAATTGCGCCCAAAATATGTTACCTACGATTTTTTTTAAATTTTTCCGTGCTCAGGGGACACAAATTAACATGTTTAGAAGACGAAAAAAAAATTTGAATTTTTTTTTTCTTGCGCACAGGGGTGTAAATGTCCCCAGGACCCCTGAGCAGTGTAAGGGTTAAAGACCTGCCTGAAATGCTAAGCGTACTAGTGGCCTTAGAAGCATGTAAGAACTTTTGGAAAACTCTTTGGAGTATTTATACAGTATACAGTGGAACCTCGGATTACGAGCGTCCCAGGTTACGAGTTTTTAGGGTTATGAGCAGAATTTGGTCATAAAATTTTCACCGGGATATGAGCGTTGCATCGGGTAACGAGCGTATTAATACGAGTACAGGCCGACCTAGCACGTGGTGGCACGTCGATCGCTGCTCAGTTTACCAGTGCCTCGCGCCCAGTGACTATCCCGCCTCAATTCTTCACAAAGATTTACAGTGTTTTGTCAGATATTTGGCCATTTGAGCATTAAAGTTATTATGTATCTGGCAATGGGTCCCAAGAAAGCCAATGCTAAGGTTCAACCTAAGAAAATAGTTGTGAGTAGAAGCAGCAGAGGATGTCCCTTCCTCATTAAGAAAACGTGTGAAGTATGGGAAGAACTGCAAAGTTTTGTTGAAAAAACTCACCCAGATAAAGCTGTAGCAGGCCGTTGCATTGACCTTTTAAATGACAATGTGATGTCTTACTACAGACAAGTGTTAAAATGTAGGGAAAACAAGTGTCTTTAGACAGATTCTTAGTAAGACGAGCAAGCAGTGAGCCACAAACAGGTCCTAGTGGTATGCAGGCAAAATGTGCCAGAGAGTGCACACCAGAGAAGTCCTCACTGCCTGATGTTATAATGGAAGGGGACTCCCCTTCCAAACAGTAACTCCTCTCCTCCTCCCCCCTCCTCACCATCTTCCATACACCAACAGCAGTTATCAGCAAGGTTAAGTAATAACTTGAACATATTTTTGTAGTGTAGATTTAGATGAATTAGGTATAAAATTTAGTTTGAAGTGAGGATTTTGAGTAGTCAGGAATGGATTAATTCATTTCC